TGAAAATGTTGTCTGATATATGTTCTTTGCAGACAATGAGCCGAGGCCACAAAAAGTCTGAGTTTGAAAAAATAATGAGTAATATTATTTTTGTTTTGATGAAAAATGAAAACGGGTCCCACGGACCCAAACCCCATACAAGGGTTTTAAAAGATGTACAAACCACATCAACGTTTGATGACCACCACTCTTTATAGTTTCTTCTTTGGAAGTTATTTGCTGTCACAGTGTTAAGGAGCTCTGTGTGTTCCATGTAAATGCCGAGCAGTCTGAGTACTGCCGCTCACTCCTGTTCATTGATTTGTTCTTTCTTTCATTAATCACGTTAGAGCCTACTTTGTCAGTCACAATTACTTGTGATTTTATCGTCGTATTATAATTACTTGACTACCCTCCCTTTATAATAGATCTATAATACTCTGCTTAATAATATACGATGGGTTGTCTTTGTCCGGGAATCAATACCAGCCTGCATGCAGAGCTGAGATGTGTGAGATATTCATTCACGGCTTCACGGATTGTTTTTCACTTTTTAAAACAGGATCATAACTGATATAGATAAAGCCCCAAAAGTTTGAAGACAGACGTAGTTAGAGGTGAATAATTAGTATAATTTACACATTTCACAGTGTGGACATTTTTATTTTCCAATACAGACTGAAACACAAACAAACTCTAAATAAAACGCAGCCAGGACTCATATTTTGTTTTCTTTCAAAAGTAAAAAAAAGTAATTACAGGGACAAAAGTACTTGAACAGCAATAAGCTGCGTCATTTGTGTGATAAATATTTGTGTCTTGTTTGTCTTGTGCGAACACTCTCAGGATCAATTAGTCAGTTTGGTCATAACACGTTTAAGAGTGTTGTCCTCTGAGACACAGGAGGAGAAAAACAGTTCAGGTCCCCAATGAGAGCAAATGAGAAGGTGGGGTGGCTCTGTGGGGGGATTCCCCTGAGTCACCAACTGACAGTTTGCAGTTGAGGAAAGTCCGAAAGTTTTAAAAGTGCTGAAATAATTACTTTATTCATTGGTTGAGTGACAGAAAATGTATTTATTGTTTTTCATTAATTTTCATAATAAAAAATGGCAAGATTGTATAAAAGGGAAAGTGAAGTTGGCAACTTATTGCATTGTGACATCTTGTGCAGAGGAAACGGTCAATTGATTTGTTGAAGAAATTAAGTGAAAAATAAATGAACGAGAATAAAATCCTTAGCTTGTAGTAGCCCTACTGTATCTGCAGTGGATTTTCTCAAGAGGCTAATTTGCAAGCTTTTTAAAATTCCTTTTCTTTGCAGAATTTGAAATATGTGAAGAATCGTTCCCTGCAGGCCCGAGGCAGAGGACGTCATTTAGCCCTCTTTGTTATGTATCATCAGAGGACATTTCTCTCCCTGGGACGTTATAAACACCTCTAATATACCCAGGAAGCTAATTGTATTTATTTGGCGACAATACCTTAATAGTAAATCCCCACGGATAATACTCTGTGTAATAGTTTAAAGTGAGATCTCTCGTGGCCCTAGAGTTTTAATATTCTCTGGATTGTTTTAGACCCAATAGACTGAGCTAGATGAAATTAATGAAAGTTATTTATGTGAGTATCCGGCAATATAAAATCTGATAGGACTTAGGAATCAGGAATCAGGAATCATTCATAACTATAATATGTCAGACATACATGGAATTTGACTTGGCAAAGGAGCAGACAGTTTGACAATGGACAACAGGACAGATAAGACGACATAGTGCAAGAGGAATAAAATAAAATATAATGCTATGGGTTAGTATATAAGGCTATGTGTTTAAAAATAAAGTAAAAATTTTTTTAAAACGTTAAAAAAATAAAGTGCACCAGCGAACAGAAAGTGACAGGTGACAGGTGACAGGTGACAGGTGCATGTGCGTGTGGAGTGTGAAGGGAGTGACCGGTGGGATGTCAGAGTCGGTCAGTGGGGGATTCGGGCTCTGGACCTCAGCTTAATGCCAGATAGAAGGGGCACAAACAGCTTTTTTATCCGGGGTGAGAGGGGTCAGCTACGATCTTATCAGCCCGAAAAACAAAGGGCGCCAAAGCACCGTGGCAGCCATCATTGGAGTTCAGTCTTGGAGGTTTAGTCATTCTCCATATTGCTAACTATAACTTTATTTTCAGAAATCCCTCCTTATGCCCATGCAATATACTGTATGTGATGCAAGAATCAGCAAGCAGTTAAATTTCTGTAACTGCACATTTTACAACTGGCTTAGTGACATGGTGAGAGTAATGTCACGCTTGTTTAATATAAAAATGGATTAAGGAATGGAGGAACTTTGATTAATGGTTTTACAGGATTCTCCTTTTACGGGAAACAATGTTGCGATGCACTTAATTACCAGAATCTACTTTTGGTATCTATATCAATCACATTATTTTCTCAACGTTAATAAATGCAAATCCCTTCTTTACATAATCCATTAAACCCCAGTTCATGGACTTTGGGAAGTTACTCATGGAAGTTAGTTGTGTTGTGACATGGGGAGTAGAATAAGTGAACATTTTCTTAACAACTACTCCATTGGTAAATACTTCATTCAGAGTTGTTATCTCATGATTCAGATTACAACAGTGATACAACAGTTTGACAAGTTGTTATTTGGGACAGAATGTTTACCTAAACAGTTCGGGATATGTCGTCATCCTGCAAGAGCAGTGTCGACTAACAACTCATTAACAGCCTCATTAGACTGAGATGTTCCAGCTTTCAGCAAGGGAGTACAGCACACTTCAGTTGTATACTTCTCACTCTGGAGGACTGCGAGAATCAAAACAATCAGAAATGAAAGTTTGAAAAAACAAAATGATGACTTTGCATTCTGACTTTATGGATACAGAGTAGTTTGTAATGACTTCTTCTGCAAAAATGAGGCATGAGGAATAATAATTGTGGACACGGTAGCGATTTACAAATATAATTTTTACAAGATTTCATGGTCCTCTTCACTCAGCGATCATGCCATGCCAGTGCTGTAGTGGTAAAATTAGAGGTGGGTAAACTCTGAATTTTGTGATCATACAGACCTCGACGCGATGCGAAGCAACGCAACACAAAGCGTTGCGACTCTGTAAGGCTGTCCTGGCTATATTGCATTATGTTATCAGTAAAAGTCATATACAATCAATTACAATGAATACATGTGTTAGTAGTTTGTAGTTTATTAAATCTAAGAAAACAGTAAAGAAAAGTATGTCAACACAACACAACAAGACAAGATTAAGAACTATGTACATACGGAGTCTCCTTTTCACAGTAGTGCCCAGAGGGCCTCCTTGTCCTCCACGTCAGGTCCTGCCTTGCACAGAGGAGCCATGAACCCCAGAACACGCGTTCTGGGGTTCATGGCTCCTCTGTGCTTCTCCTCTCTCTATTGGACCTGGTGTTTCTCCTCTCACTGTGCTCTCTGCATCATTGCCTGTCCTATCACTGCCTGAAAAAATATGTTGAATTTAAGAGTTAACCAGTTAAGCAGCCTGTCAATTACACTGACAACATGAGTTAAAGGAACACTCATGTACTACCTATGTCATCATAAATAGCCTATACAGCATGTTTTTTTTCACATTGAGAACTGACTTGTTTTCTAATCTACGCGTCACCAGGCGTTTTTCTTTTACCGTGCACGACCAGCGAACACAGAGCGCGCGACGACTACCCCCCCCTGTCGGTCGTTCCGCCCGCAACGACGACTACCCCCCCGTCGGACCTTCTCGACCGGTCCGCGAAATATTGTCTGCCATGAAACCGGTCCGTGAGGTAAGAAAGGTTGGGGATCACTGGGCTGATCCACAACGTGTGTTTACACACCTCCTGGATCCTGTGTGGTCGCTGCTGCAGCTGCAAGGCACTGATTGGATGCTCACAGACCGTAATACAGCGCAGATGAACATGATTCAGACTACGGCGTTTATATGTTCAACAATAGGAAACGTAGTCTTAGCTGTTTTAAAATTACACCAAGTTTATTTCGGATTATTCCAACGGAAGAATACAAGGCGCAGGGAACTTTGAGGTGCGTAAACGCCACTTAGGGTTGCGTAATCGCTATCTATAGGTGCGTAAACGCTATTTATAGGTGCGTAAACGCTATTTCCAAATTCCAGAGGTGCGTAAACGGCGTTTACGTGCGTTTACCCTCCACTACAGCCCTGTGCCATGCGCTCTAAGCTACGCCACACACATATAATAAACGCAGAAAATTGTGATTACAAGAAAGCCGTGGAAGGTGTGCGTAATACTGTGGCTCTGAAGTGCAAAACACAACGGCAACTAGGAAAACACAACGAAATTAAGGGTATGGCCTCATAGCAGTGGACGGACGCTTCTGATTGGACAGACGGACTGTCTGTCTTTAACAGGAAATGATACAGGGCTCTCAAGTGTCACGCACTCCCGACACACACACAAGGCTTCGAATTAACAGGGTTAAAAGACAGACAGACAGTCTGTCCAATCAGAAGGGTCCGTCCTCTGCTTCCTGCTATAAGGCCCTACCCTTTCCGTAAGAAGTTAATGTGTAATGTGTTTCCTATTTGCCGTTGTGTTTTGCACAGGGCCACTGTAGAAAAGTCATAGTACACAATTCCCGCTTCGCAGGCCACACTCAATCAGCAGTTGAATATTAATGCTCCACCTCTAAAAAGCCAGAGTAAATGAGTCATATTAAAGAACTTAATGTTTGCTCTTCACCCTGCTGTTACAGCGCGGATAACATTGTTAGAGCCAGATAAGTGATGACGTTAGTTTGGCTTTTTGTAACTACTATAGTATTAAAGCATGGCACAATTAAGAACCTAACTTGTTCACAAGCAGAACGATGATAGTAAAAAGGTTTTTCAAAGTGATTCAAATAAAACCATTAAAAACATACTAAAATAAAAGCAAGGAGATTTAAAAACAGTTAAGAACATTGACTGAAATATAACAAAAAAAAACAGTCATTACAAATATGAAAAAGACATGGAAAACAAAAATATATAAATACAAGAAAATATTCAGTGTGAACACGTGGGATCAGACATTGACCTCATTAGACACAAAGTCAGAGGAGGATTTATAAGCCACTCATTTCCAATCATTTAAAGCTCAACAGGGCTTCATCATCACAAGCAGGACCGTAGATGACTTAGAACCGACACACCCAAGAGGACAACATCATCTGCTGCACTGAGGACAGAAAAGGTTTCACAGGTTTTACGATGAATTTATTCAACTCTGCTCTCGGGAAAAACATCACTTTTGTGCGTCCTGCTTATTTCATAATAAGCGGTTTCTCTGGCATACCTAATTTCAAGTATTACTATGTCTTCCTCTGTTTTGTTTATATTGTTTCAGTGCTTGGGAATACAGTTGTGATGGCAGTAATATACTTGGATCGTAATCTAAGAACTCCTAAATATATTGCAGTTTTTAATTTAGCATTTGTGGACTTGTTGGGTAGCTCTGCTCTCGTGCCGAAGCTTCTTGACATCTTTCTGTTTAACCATCGCTACATCTCCTACAATGACTGCTTGACGTATCTTTTTTTCTGTTTCACATGTCTTTCCGTGCAGGTTTTTAATCTGGTTGCGCTCTCCTATGACAGATTAATTGCCATTATGTACCCACTGCACTATCATAGGAAGGTCACACACAGGTTCATGCTGTCTTTGATTGTCTTTTTCTGGGTCTTTGCAATTATTGCTGATCTTGTTGCTGTTGGTCTTCTTACCAGACTTTCCTTCTGCAGGTCTGTCGTTATTAACAGTTATTTCTGTGATCATGGCCAGATGTTCAGGTTGGCCTGCAATGACTTCACACCCAGCCATGTCCTTGCTCTGTTCCTAATAGTTCTAGTTGTTTGGTTTCCACTCTCATTTATCGTGTTAAGTTATGTATGTATTGGTTATGCTTTGTCTAAAGTGGCCACAGCTCAGGAAAGATACAAGGCCTTTAAAACCTGCACAGCTCATCTCTCACTAGTGGCAATCCATTTCATCCCCACATTAATCATATACACCCAGTTGGAAAGAATTCCTCCAAATGCCAGGATCATAAACTTTTCTCTGGCCTCCATTTTTCCTCCAATGCTAAACCCAATCATTTATGTTCTGCAGACACAAGAAATCAAAGCATCAGTGAAAAAAATACTAAAAGTCAGAAAGGAATCCAAAATGAAAGTGAAGAAAGTAATCATAAAATGATAACTTTTGTTCATATTTTGGGCTTTGTGTTGAGAATTTTGGTTTTGTACATTAAAATAATATAACACTTGACTTTTCTGAACCACTGTTATTCTTTTATTACAACCTTCCCTCACATGAAACCTCCCCAACCGTTCAAAGACGTACCAACTTTTATCAAAGAACTTTGTTGTGAAGCACCTACAGAATTTGCAAATACTTTGGACCTGAATACCTACATATTATTAGGTAGTATTTCTAAGATGAGGGATACAAATTTTAACAAATGTTTTGATATATTTACGCAGTGTGGCAACCCAGGGGGAGGGAGGCCAGCTCCCTGCATAAAATAAGCGGCTCGGAGGCAGGAAGTGCAAAACAAAAAGGGTCCTTTTAATATTATGGTCAAAATAAAGGCTCTTTACGCCAAACTGAAGTAGAAGTAGCTCTCCAGCGCTGGGCTAGTGACTCCAGTTTATTCCATCCCTCCTACGTCCTGTGAGGGGTAGAGAAGAGACGAGGAGTGAGTCCTGTGGTTACTTCATCTCTGCTACTGGGTCTCCTCTGTGTGTCCTTGAGTCGGCCTCGCTCCCTACATGTATCCTCCACCTCTAATTACCTGATGGCTCGCAGGTGTGACCAATGCCACGTTCCCAGTGGCTGCAGCACCTGCACAGGATAATATATCCCCTTTATTACCTCCCCCAATCGGAGCTTGGAGATCCGTCTCCTGTGCTTGGTTCCTCCACCTGGTTCACCACAGCAGAAAGAGGTTGTCAGCAAGGTATGAAGACCAAAAATGACTACTATAACCGATTGTAAGTCTCTTATTATGTCAATGCACTATGGCTTGATGCACATTATTATTTTTGCCTGGACGGCTGTTATGAAGCAACCAGATTGTTATCAAAAAGGTTTTTGCGTTTTTCATGGCTTTTTCTGTTATATTTCTAAAAGATAAATTGGAGTAGAAGGAACATTTCCATTTAAATAAACATATCAGGAGTGTTGGTGTCGTCTGTTCTTTATGTGTACTGTTGCTGCCTTTTGGCTGACTTCTCCCGACTAGATCAGTTAAAGGCAAGTTACACACAGACGACACACAAGTGAAGGTTTTGAATTATCAACTAGAATCATCAGTGGAATATTAACGCTGCATCTCCAAAAAGACAGAGTAAATGTGTCATAATGCACAATTTAATATTGGATCATCACCCTCTTGTCACAGCGTAGCATCACATTGTTAAAACCAGATGAGAGATGACTTTATTTTACTTATTTTCTGTAACTACTGTAGTATTAAAGCATGAAACAAATAACATGCTAACTAGCAGACTGCTGTATAGTAAAAAGGCCTCTCTTGGAGCATCAGTAACACTTTAGTGCTGAGAGTGGTAATGCAGTAAGGGAGACGACATGAGCCTTTCAAATTTTGAACTTTATTTTTACATTTTGTTGTTAATCAGAGCAGGTTAGTGGAGAAGCAAGTTCAATGTTTGTGTAAATGTAGTGCGATAAGTTTTTAAGACTGAAAAGGAGTTGGTCTGATCCCAAGTCTGAACACGTAGGATCAGACATTGATAAATTGCCATCATGCCCCCTCTGCACTATCATATGAAGGTGACCAACAGGTTCATGCTGTGTTTGATTGCCTCTTTCTGGGTTTTTGTAATTGTTCTTCATCTCGTTGCGGTTGTTCTTACCAGACTTTCCTTCTGTAGGTCTGTGGTTCTTAAGTTATTTCTGTGACCATGGCACGATATACAGGCTGGCCTGCAATGACAACACACCCAGCTATGTCCTTGCTGAATCCTTAGTAAATCTATTTTTTAGGTTTCCACTCGTATTCATCGTGTTAAGTTATGTATTGGTTATGCTTTGTCTAAAGTGGCCACAGCTCAGATACAAGGCCTTTAAAACCTGCACAGCTCATCTCTCACTAGTAGCTTCTCCCATTTCTGTATTTCCAGTTCTTTAAAATAATTAATCTTTTCTTATGCCTGTATTAACAATGTTTTAATCATTTCTGTATTTTTTGCAATTTTTCAAATTCATTTCAGCTGTCTTCATTTCTACTTTTTCAGCAAATCAATTAATTCCTCAGCTTCTCCCATTTCTGTATTTTCAGCAATTTCAAATTTAAGCTTTTAATATTTGTAATTTCAGCAAATGTATTAAAATTCCCTTCGGCTTTCTGTAATTTCAGCAATTTTCTTAAGTTCATTTCAGCTTTCAGCATTCCAACGCATTTTCTAGTTTACATGTTTGATTTAAAGCGGAGGCCTGAGAAGCAAGCTCAAAATCTTTTGGTTTTCTGGCTTAATTGGCCTGTACAACCCCGCCCCTGTTTTTTTTTTTAACAGGAGCTAATTCATTATAACTTGCTATCTTGTCTTGCTGCGTGACTTAGCGTAAATATTGTAATGTTCAGTCGTCAACTCTGTAGACTGAATTTTCATGACTATCCTTCTCACTCAGGAGGCAGCACAGTTACTGATTCAGGCTGTAACGCATCACAGGAGACAGGAGTCGACCCAAGCGCAGATTTAATGAAGAACAGGTATGCAGGGGTTAGGCTTAGACTTATCCAAAAGACAGGCGGGAGGTCGATATCCAGGAGCACGGAGAAGGGCAAAGGTACAGCCAGGGATCAGGCAGGAGGCAACGAGGTCTGGAACAAAAAGGGGTCTTCAACAAGAGTACAAAACAGGATATCCAAATAACGCTCAGAATGTGATTACAATTACACGAGACTTCGCGAAGAACAAAGTGATGAGTGGTGTATATATACAGACCAGCTTGATGGGGAACCAGACACAGGTGTGTAGGGATGAGTGGGCGTGCACAACAGACACACACAGTATAACAAACCAACACAAAACGGGACAGACCATCTGGACAGTAAACAGGGGGGGAGTTTGGGGACCAGCTATTGAAGGCCTCGGTACTCCAGGGAAGGGGAGCGCTGGATCGTGACAGAACCCCCCCCCCCTCCACGGGCAGCTCCAGAAGCCCAAGACCGACCTCTACGGGGCGGACTACCGCGCGGGCCAGGGCACTCTGGATGGGCCAGATGAAAGTAAGCCATGAGGGAAGGGTCAAGAATGTCCGAGGCTGGAACCCAGGCCCTCTCCTCCGGCCCATAACCTTCCCAGTCCACGAGGCATTCAAGGCCAGTCCGGCGGCGACGGGAGTCCAGCAGAGATCTGACCATATATGCCACACCATCATCCAGAAGCAAATGGGGGGGTGGTGCCGACTGAGCCTCAGGGCCTGACTGGCCATCCTGGGTTCTGACAACCGGTTTGAGCAAGGAGACATGGAAAGTCGGACAGCTGTGGGGACATAAGTCTTGTCACCAGGAGTCCCCTGGGGTGCAGGATCAGCTGGCAAGGCTTGTTGAATATGTTCCAGGATATCCCATCTGATGGGGGCAATGTGTTGAGGTGACAAGATTGGCTCCGGGGTGTTTGCTCTGAAGGAATCATGGAGCCGAGAGGGAATCTGCCTTGATTCTTTGAGCCTGGTCTAAAGGTTTGAGAAAAATTAAACAGTAAAAAAAAAAACAAAGACCAACGAGCTTGGCATGGATTTAACCTGGTGCCCTCAAGCCAATGCCGCCATTCTTCAAAGGCAAGTTTGATCGCCAGGAGCTCTTTGTTTCCTACATCGTAATTTCTTTCTGCGGAGGTCAATTTGCGAGAAAAAAAAGGCACATGGGTGTAACTTGGCGGGCTTACCATGGCTCCCAATAGCTCCCACCCCCGACTCCGATGCATCTACCTCAACAACGAAGGGGAGATTCGGATCCGGATGCTTGAGGACAGGCGCTGAGGTGAACATGCTCTTTAACTTCCGGAAGGCCCGGTCGGCCGCATCATTCCGACAGAGCCTCTTTGTGGCCCCTTTTAACAGACGTTAGGGGTGCGGCAACTGAACTAAAATTGCGAGCAAAGCCCAGAAAACGCTGATGGTCTTTAACAGTCTGGGGCTCGGGCCAGTCTACCACTGCCCTAACTTTAGCCTCATCCACCTGGACCCCCTGGGAGGATATTCTGTACCCAAGAAACGGTACTTCGGTCTTGTGGAACTCACACTTCTTCAGTTTAACATAGACGGTTTTCCAGGAGCTTGTTGAGGACTTGGCGTACATGCTTGACATGCTCCCCCAGCTCTGAGGAGTAGACCAGAATGTCATCAATGTACACAATCACACATTTACCAATGTATTCACGGAGAACTTCGTTAACAAAAGCCTGGAACACTGGAGGGGCGTTGGCTAATCCAAAAGGCATCACCACATACTCATAATGGCCTGTCGTGTGAAAAGCCGTCTTCCACTCGTCACCGTCCTTGATGCGAATGAGGTTGTAGGGCCTGCGAAGATAGTTTGGTGTATATCCAAGCCACCCGGAGTTGTTCTACTGCTGCAGGCACCAAAGGGATAGAGATATTTAACAGTAACAGAATTCAGACCCCAATAGTCTATACATGGCCTGAGATCACCGTCCTTCCCAACAAAAAAGAAACTCAAGGCTGCGGGGGATGTGGATGGGCGGATAAAACCTTTGGCGAGACCCTCCTCCACATAGGTTTCCATAGCTTGTGATTCAGGCAATGATAATGGATAGATCCTACCTCCTGGGTGGAGTAGCTCCAGACACCAAGTCTATGGCACAGTCCCACGGTCTGTGTGGTGGCAGGTAGGTGGCGCTCCTCTTGCTGAAGACCGCTGCCAGGTCTAAATAGGCTGAGGGGACATCTGGTGTGACAGCGACTGACGGGCTCTCGATGGTGGTTGCTCTGATGGGTGTAGCCAGACATTTGCTACCCCAACGGAGCAGTTCATTAGTAGCCAGGAAATCTGTGGTTCATGATAAGCGAGCCATGGTAACCCTAAAATAACATCATTACTTATGTCACTGCATGAAAAGTGAGATTTTCGTCCCCGTAAACGCCCGGAAATCTCTCTAATTTCCGACAATTTGCAACCCGCGCACGTCGCTTTTGTCTGTGCCACAAATTGTCGGAAACGAACCATGACATGGCCCGAATTAGCATATGAATGCAGCGAAACCGCGGGTGGCCGAGCGGGCTTGAATATCCTTACTCCTTATTGGATGAAACCACAGCTTACGAACAAATAAAATCACTTGTGATTGGCAGCAAAACCACACGTGGGCAGACCAGGCTTGAGTTTCCTTGTTCATGATTGGATGAACAACTTTCAATCATTCGTGATTGGTTGGCAGATCTGTCGCTATTGGTCACCCGCCTCATTTTATTTATATATTCATATTATGCTGTATATTCATTTCATGGTTATCCTATGCAGGCTACTACACGATTATTAGGATACCAACCAGGACATCAATGAATTTATAGAGAAAATGAACATTTGACACATGTTTATGCAAAGAAAGCTTTATTAACAACACACAAACAACTGCATACAAAGTGAGGATCTGCCCACACTTGGGTAACGGCGGTTTAAAAACTACAGCTCAGTAAACTGTCAGTTTGCCTCCTCGGGGTTGTAGACCGTCACTGGCGCCGTGTTTTCCGAGGCAGGTCTGTTGTGCAGGCGGTTCGTGTGTGCGTGGCGACCGTACAATCCACCCCGAGACCCCGCCAACAACGCCGTCCCCTCCGTCCGACGTGAGCTCCACGGTGGCGGATTTCCACCTCGTCATCAGCCAGCACACTTTGTCTCGATTCCAGCAGCTGTAAAAACAACAATGAATCAGTACTGTGCGATGCGTACGGACACAACACAGCTATCAATGCACCTGAAACAAGTCAGCAAATAAACTCTGACCCTCTTTCTTCTCGCTCGACTCCGCGCTGAATCCGTCGCAGCTTCCGCTCGCAATGAGTGTTCCGCCTGAACCTGAAGCTCCTGCGTCCCGTCTCAAAATACGTCTCACAGGCGGCTGGAAAACACTTAAATGAGTGTGGTAGGAATACAAAAAGAAAAATCAAACACAAGTCACAGTAACATTTAACAAAGAAGGAGAAACAGTGTCACTTACACACAATGACGTCGTCTAAATCTGGACTTTTCCCGGAGCAAATACGACGTCACCGCCTCATTATGAGACGAGATTAGTCTGTGAAAACAAAATGTACAGTTATGATCGGTATCTATACGTATACATTTCCTTATAGGGCAGAATGAAAGCATATTCTTTAAATCTGACCCTTGCTCCGGTTCGTGGCGCCTGTAGTTCGTCTCGGAGTTGTGAAGACGGCGCACCGCTTCCTGTAAACGACACGGCAAGAAAATACACTTTAATAAAGCTGTTTCTGCTCACTTGTAAGGCTACTAGGCTACTCTTAGCTTAGCTTGAGGCTACGCTACTTTTAGCTTAGCTTGCAGTCATCGAACGTATTCTTACCGCTATCGTGGGATTGTGCGCCCGTCTCCTCTTCTTTGAGTCAGTTCCTGTCCTCCATGGACAGAAACCCGCAGAGTCCCGAACGCTCCAGTGGAGCGAACCGCTCGTTGATATCGGCAGTTTGTTGTTGGAGTTGACGAGACGATCCACTGAGAGCTTTCAGCAGCTTCTTCTCGTCTGTCTGCGGACTGGCCAAACGTTGGTGACTGCGGAGAGGAGTTGAAGGCGAGTTGAACGTGAGACGTCGTCCCGCCATTATTCACGAACCAGCAAAAACCAAACAAAGGAACTGGAGATACAGTTCTTCTGAACGTAGTAACACACACGTGTCTGTTTGTATGCTCGTCTTGCAAGTACTGCTGTATCAGTCATGCCTATGACCTCACACGTGATTGGACGAGGAGTCTAAGGGTCCTCCAATCACATACGAGGTTATTGTTATACGGAAGGACCAGTATTTTAGGAAGACAAATGGTTGGGACTTTGAAACAGCTGATTTGCTTTGTGTAAAGCAGTGTTTTGGTGTCAGCAGAACGACTTTCCCTAGAAATCTGTACAGTGGTGCCTCTTTCTCCATTCCACCAGACAATCTAGAGTCTGACAGACATGCAATGTTGACAATGTATCATCAGATGTACCCTTGTGTCACTGAGGTTGAATGTTTTGCCATGATATGTAAACGGGTAACGTATATGAATGCAACTTACTCAATCGATAGATGCAGAGCAGAAAGGTCAGCGTATATTTATGCTAAGTGGTGTGGAAACACTAACAGTTTTGAGGAACCCGTCCTTGACCCTCTAGCAGAACTACGACCAGCCATTATAAAGCAGTTTATAGTTGTTAATGTTGTGTCAAAGGATACGGCATTTAAACACGTTCTTGCACAAGTTTCCTGGCTTCATTGTGGTTAATACATCCTCTGTGCATTTAAGTAAGACCAAAGAAAAGGTCACTGTAGTCCTGCCACTATGCACTGTAGTTGAGCTCTAGGAGACTGATCTCTGTAGACCCCTCATTCTGATTCAAATGTTGTTTGCATGGAATGCTCATTTTACCTTGATTAAAACTCTTTTTTTAAAGAAGTTATTTTGTGTATCTTTTTTACATAACATTTGCCATTGCTAATGGCGTACACAGTAATCTAGCATATTTGAATTAGTCTATAATTAGGCTACTGAGCCTGATCTATTTGTACCAGAGATTCTTACCTTTTAAAAAAATGTCACCTGGGCTAAAACTCCCTCTGCGACCCTGATTTGCATTTGTATAGCTCACAGCATTTTCATTTACATGTCAAAGCCTCCCCTAGAATTAGGAGGGGGGTTATGGGGGGACAACTGCCAAGGGAGGCCCACATCAATTTCTGACAATTTACGGCAGTTTTCGGCGTTGCCCGCAAATTGCCGCAAACCTGAAATTCCACGACAATTTACAGTGCCGCATACTGCCGAAAATCCCACTTTTCATGCAGTGTGTGATCTATAACTAACAGAATTTCTCAGAGTGAAGAACACTCACAACCAGAGTAACCGGGACTGTAGCTTGGGTAATGAAGCCAGAACCAAGGGGCTGATTGTTACGCCTTCGTCCCGGCTCGGGAGAGGAGGAAGGCGTAACTACCCCGACCACCGGATGATTATGAACCTGTACGCTAAGGCACCAGCTTGCTACCACAATAAGTAAAGCACGCTGCTCCAATGGATGGCTATGGTGGGTTTATTTTCCACACAACAACAATACAAACATTAACACAAACAATTACACAAGTACAAAGACACGGGATTGGAGGACTAACCGGTAACAAGGCCTGTGGAGTAGGTCGGTGCCAGCGGTCTGTCAAAGCAAAGAAACAAAACAAAGGACCCTGAGCTTCCCTAATCCTCTAAACCTACCTACCACAATCTAACCTATCACACCACTTGCCTTACTGCTACAATACACTGGGTGACAGCCACTGGGTTCTAATCTAGTATGTATCTAACAGAGGTTTTTCCTTCGGGTGTATGTAGACCCCAGGGTATCTTACCTAGCCCTGCTTCACAGCACTCTTGGGGTAAGTACATAAACACAGACCTTGGTGTACAATAGACCACAGTTTAACAAACAACATAAACCATATATTCTTTCAATGTCACTCTTAATCTCTCCCAACACAAGCCTCCTCAAGCTCTCACAAACAAACCTTTTAAAGAGCAGAGCTGAGAGCTGGAGGAACAGCTGGCCACACCTGCATCAACTCACCACACCCGTGAAGAACAGACTGGAAACAAAGACATGGGGGAGGAGAAAACACTAATAGAGCAGCCGGGCGCAACACTGATTGTCAATGGATGTAATCGGTGGTGGAGGAGAACAGGGTGGCAGTTGAAGTTGTTGAACCAGGCGTTGACTTATGAAGTTTCCTGCAGACCCAGAGTCTATAAAGGCTGAAACGGTTGCCTGACCCATTCTCCCAGAGACAGTGACAGGTAACAGACGTTGCCGCGAAATGTTCGGACAGAGAAGCGTACTCACTCGTAGAGGCTGTTTTGATCCAGTCATCCGACGTGGGCAGGTGATCCGAAAGTGTCCAGCTTTCCACAGTCAAAACACTCCTCAAGAGACAATCGGGTGCCCCCCGAGTTGCATCGGTTTCTCCTCCGGGACGGGGGCCGAAATAGAGACGGGATGTGGAGAGACCCTGGGGCAATAGACATTGCTGCGCCTGGAACTCTTTTCCAGCTGTCGTTCTCTCATGCGGCGGTCCAGTTGAGCAGCCAGGTCGATGAGGTCCTCAAGGGTAGTACCCCACTCCCAATTTACCAGCTCATCCTTGATGTCGTTGAGGCTGTGATAGAAGGTTGTCATCAGAGCAGAATTCTCCCACCTACTCTCTGCAGCCAGGGTCCTGAAGTCTATGGCAAAGTCAGAAATTGACTGTTGTCCCTGGCGTAGATTCCGGAGGCGTTTAGCCGCTTCCTGCATGTTAGTAGGATGACCAAACACACGTTTTAACTGTTGCATGAACATCACACTGTCTGAACAAACAGGGTTCTGTTGATCCCACACTGCTGTGGCCCACTCCAGGGCTCTTCCTGTGAGCACAACCTGAGGTAGACTGTGGGTTGCTGTTCAAAAACCAAAGAGCACTGGGTTAGAAAGCCTCTACAGGATTCAGGGCTGCCATCGTATCGCTGGGGTGGGGTTAGATAGAGTGCAGAGTGGCTTGTGCCGGGGGGGGGGGCTACGGCACCAGAATCCCCGGCTGGAACAGCAGGAGCAGGGGTCTGAGCCGAAAGGTTCATCACTAGATGGTTGAAATCTTGAAAGACTGCTGCCAAATTGTTGAGAGTCCCCGACTTGGCCGAGTCTATGACCTTGCTCAGATTGTACGCCGGCAAGGTGGTCAATGACCTTTTGCATACTGGGGCCTCTTACGGTCTGCTGATCCGGCTCCGACATCCTCAAAGGCTGACGAAGGCCTGTGACACACACTCCGCTGAGTCTAGTTGAGGCAAAGTCTTCTGTAACGCATCACAGGAGACAGGAGTCGACCCAAGAGCAGAGCGCAGATTTAATGAAGAACAGGTATACAGGGGTTAGGCTTAGTCGTATACAAAAGACAGGCAGGAGTTCGATATCCAGGAGCACGGAGAAGGGCAAAGGTACAGTCAGGGATCAGGCAGGAGGCAATGAGGTCTGGAACAAAAAGGGGTCTTCAACGAGAGTACAAAACAGGATATCCAAATAACGCTCAGAATGCGATAACAATTACACGAGACTTCGCAAAGAACACAGAGGGATGAGGGGTGTATATATACAGACCAGCTTGATGGGGAACCAGACACAGGTGTGTACGGATGAGTGGGCGTGCACAACAGACAGACACACAGTGGAAAAAACCAACACAAAACGGGACAGACCAACTGGACAGTAAACCGGGGGAGAGTTTGGGGACCAGATATTGAAGGCCTCAGTACTCCGGGGAAGGGGAGCGCTGGATTGTGACACAGGCTCTTGTCATCTCCTTCCTCGACTATTGTTACTCTCTCCTGGCATGGGTTCCTGCCACCACCATTGGACCTCTGCAGCTCATCCAGAATGCAGCAGCTCGACTGATCTTTAACCTTCCTAAATTCTCTCAAACTACTCCACTTCACTGGCTATCGCATTCCAGTTCAAAATATTGGTGCTCACGTACCTTGCTGTGGTGACAAATTGTAGCACTTAAATTGTACTTATAATGGCTCTTATCTATAGCAAGTTGTAAATCGGCTTATTTAATGAAATTGTACTTTCGTCTTTCTTGTAATTTTGAGTTTGTATCCTTATGATGAAATGCAATTATTGTCTGTCGCTTTGGGTAAAGTGTCAGCTAAATGAAATGTTATGTAAAGAGACGACATGAGCCATTCAAATAATTAACTTTATCTTCGTATATTGTTGGTAATCAGAGCAAGTCAGCTGAGAAGCAAGCTAAATGTTTGCCTGAGTGCAACACGTTTTTAAGGCTGGAAAGGAGTTAGTCTGATCCCGAGTGTCTGATGAACACGTGGGATCAGACATTGACCTCATTAGACACAAAGTCAGAGGAGGATTTATAAGCCACTTATTTCAAAACATTTAAAGCTTAACAGGGCTTCATCATCACAAGCAGGACCGTAGATGACTTAGAACTAACTCACCCAAGAGGACTACATCAACTACTGCACTGAGGACAAAATAGGCTTGACAACTTTTACAATGAATTTATTCAACTCTGCTCTCGGGAAAAACATCACTTTTGTTCGTCCTGCTTATTTCATAATAAGCGGTTTCTCTGCCATACCTAATATCAAGTATTACTATGTCTTCCTATGTTTTGTTTATATTGTTTCAGCGCTTGGAAATACAGTTGTGATGGCAGTAATATACTTGGATTGTAATCTGAGAACACCTAAATATATTGCAGTTTTTAATTTAGCATTTGTGGACTTGTTGGGTAGCTCTGCTCTGGTGCCGAAGCTTCTTGACATCTTTCTGTTTAACCATCGTTACATCTCCTACAACGACTGCTTGACTTTCTTCTTTTTCAGCTACACCTTCCTTTCCATGCAGGTTTTTAATCTGATTGCACTCTCCTATGACAGATTAATTGCCATCATGCACCCTCTGCACTATCATGCAAAGGTTAATCACAGGTTCATGCTGTCTTTGATTGCCTCTTTCTGGCTGTTTGCAATTACTGTTGATGTTGTTGCAGTTGGTCTTCTTACCAGACTTTCCTTCTGCAGGTCTGTGGTTATTAATAGTTATTTCTGTGACCATGGCCAGATATACAGGCTGGCCTGCAATGACAACACCCCTAGCTATATCCTTGCTGTGCTTTTAATAGCTTTAATTTCTATGTGCCCACTGGCTTTCATCGTGTTAACTTATTTATGTATTGGTTATGCTTTGTCTAAAGTGGCCACAGCTCAGGAAAGATACAAGGCCTTTAAAACCTGCACAGCTCATCTCTCACTAGTGGCAATCTATTTCATCCCATTGTTAGTAACATTTACTATGAGTTCAGGAATACATCCAAATGCCAGAATCATAAACCTCTCTCTGGCCTCTGTTTTTCCTCCAATGCTAAACCCAATTATTTATGTTCTGCAGACACAAGAAATCAAAGTATCAGTGAAAAAAATATTAAAAGTCAGAATTGAAGCAAAAGTGAAAGTGAACAAAGTAATCATCAAATGATCACCTTTGTTTATATTTGGGGCTTTGTGTTGAGAATTGTGATTTTGTACATTAAAATAATATAACATTTGACTTTTCTTAACCACTGTTATCTTTTTTTATTACAACCTTCCTTCACATGAAACCTCCCCAACCGTTCAAAGACGTACCAACTTTTATCAAAGAACTTTGTCCTGAAGCATCTACAGTAATTGCAAATACTTTGGACCTGAATACCTATATTTTAAAGTATTCGAAGATGAGGGATACACATTTTCACGAATGTTTTGACATATTTACGCAGAGAGAGGTTGTCAGCTAGGTATGAAGACCAGAAATGACTACTATAACCGATTGTAAGTGTCTTATTATGTCAATGCACTATGGCTTGATGCACATTATTATTGCTGCCTGGACCGCTGTTATGAAGCAACCAGTTTGTTATAAAAAACATTTTTACAGTTTTCATGTCTTTTTTTGTTATGTTTCTAGAAGATAAATTGGAGTAGAAGGAACATTTCCATTTAAATAAACATATCAGGAGTGTTAGTGTCGTGCGTTCTTTATGTGTACTGTTGCTGCCTTTTGGCTGACTTCCTCCGACTAGATCAGTTTATGGCAAGTTACACACAGACGACACACGAGTGAAGGTTTTGAATTAACTAGAATCATCAGTGGAATATTAACGCTGCATCTCCAAAAAGCCAGAGTAAATGTGTCATAATACACAATTTAATATTGGATCCTCACCCTCTTGTCACAGCGTAGCATCACATTGTTAAAACCAGATGAGGGACGACTTTATTTGACTTATTTTCTGTAACTACTGTAGTATTAAAGCATGAAACAAATAACATGCTAACTAGCAGACTGCTGTATAGTAAAAAGTAACACTTGAGAGTTGAGATGAGAGTTGTAATGTAGAAAAAGAGACGTCATGAGACTTTCAAATTTTGAACTTTATCTTTAGATTTTGTTGTTAATCAGAGCAGGTTAGCTGAGAAGCAAGTTCAATGTTTGTGTAAATGTCGTACAATAAGTTTTTAAGACTGAAAAGGAGTTGGTCTGATCCCGAGTGTCTGATGAACACGTGGCATCAGACTTTGACCTTATTTGACATGAAGTCAGAGGAGGATTTATAAGCCACTCATTTCCAAACATTTAAAGCTCAACAGGGCTTCATCATCACAAGCAGGACCGTAAATGACTTAGAACCGACACACCTAAGACGACTACATCAACTGCTGCACTGAGGACAGAAAAGGCTTGACAGTTTTTACGATGAATTTATTCAACTCTGCTCTCGGGAAAAACATCACTTTTGTGCGTCCTGTTTATTTCATAATAAGCGGTTTCTCTGGCATACCTAATTTCAAGTATTACTATGTCTTCCTCTGTTTTGTTTATATTGTTTCAGTGCTTGGGAATACAGTTGTGATGGCAGTAATATACTTGGATCGTAATCTGAGAACTCCTAAATATATTGCAGTTTTTAACTTAGCGTTTGTGGACTTGTTGGGTAGCTCTGCTCTGGTGCCGAAGCTTCTTGACATCTTTCTGTTTAACCATCGCTACATCTCCTACAATGACTGCTTGACCTTTCTTTTTTTCTGTTTCACATGTCTTTCCATGCAGCCTTTTAATCTGGCTGCACTCTCCTATGACAGATTAATTGCCATTATGTACCCACTGCACTATCATATGAAGGTGACCCACAGGTTCATGCTGTGTTTGATTGCCTCTTTCTGGGTTTTTGTAATTACCGTTCATCTCGTTGCAGTTGGTCTTCTTACCAGACTTTCCTTCTGTAGGTCTGTGGTTATTAACAGTTATTTCTGTGACCATGGCCCGATATACAGGCTGGCCTGCAATGACTACACACCCAACTATGTCCTTGCTGAATCCTTAGTAAATCTATTTTTTAGGTTTCCACTGGCTTTCATTGTGTTAAGTTATGTATGTATTGGTTATGCTTTGTTTAAAGTGGCCACAGTTCACGAAAGATACAAGGCCTTTAAAACCTGCACAGCTCATCTCTCACTAGTAGCAATCAATTTCATCCCATTAGTAATTACATTCATTGCAGGTTCAGGAATGCATCCAAATGGCCGGATCATAAACCTTTCTCTGGCCTCCATTTTCCCTCCAATGCTGAACCCAATCATTTATGTTCTGCAGACACAAGAAATCAAAGCATCAGTGAAAAAAATACTAAACGTCAGAAAAGAATCCAAAATGAAATTGAAGAAAGTAATCATCAAATGATCACCTTTGTTTATATTTTGGGCTTTGTGTTGAGAATTGTTATTTTGTACATAAAAATATTATAACATTTGACTTTTCTGAACCACTGTTGTTTTTTTTATTACAACCTTCCTTCACATGAAACCTCCCCAACCATTCAAAGACGTACCAACTTTTATCAAACAACTTTTGTTATGAAGCATCTACAGAAATTGCAAATACTTTGGACCTGCATACCTACATTTCAAAGTATTCGAAGATGAGGGATACAAATTTTCACAAATGTTTTGACATATTTACGCAGAGAGAGGTTGTCATCAAGGTATGAAGACCAAAAATGACTACTATAATCGATTGTAAGTCTCTTATTATGTCAATGCACTATGGCTTGATGCACATTATTATTGTTGCCTGGACGGCTGTTATGAAGCAACCAGATTGTTATCAAAAACGTTTTTGCAGATTTGATGGTTTCTTCTGTTATGTTTCTAGAAGATAAATTGGAGTAGATGGAAGATTTCCATTTAAATAAACATATCAGGATTGTTAGTGTCGTCCGTTCTTTAGGTGTACTGTTGCTGCCTATTGACTAACTTCCTCCAACTAGATCAGTTTTAGGCAAGTTACACATAGACGACACACGAGTGAAGGTTTTGAATTAACAACTAGAATCATCAGTGGAATATTAACGCTGCATCTCCAAAAAGCCAGAGTAAATGAGTAATATTACACAACTTAATATTGGATCCTCACCCTCTTGTCACAGCGTAGCATCACATTGTTAAAACCAGATGAGGGACGACTTTATTTCACCTATTTTCTGTAACTACTGTAGCATTAAAGCGTAAAACAAGTAACATAACTAGCAGACTGCTGTATAGTCAAAAAGGCCTCTGTTGGAGTATCAGTAACACTTTAGGCTGAGAGTGGTAATGCAGTAAGGGAGGGTAAGGGAAACGACATGAGACTTTCAAATTTTGAACTTTATCTTTACATTTTGTTGTTAATCAGAGCAGGTTAGCTGTGGTGCGATAAGTCTTTAAGACTGAAAAGGAGTTGGTCTGATCCCGATTGTCTGATGAACACGTGGGATCAGACTTTGACCTTATTTTACATGAAGTCAGAGGAGGATTTATAAGCCACTCATTTCAAATCATTTAAAGCTCAACAGGGCTTCATCATCACAAGCAGGACCGTAGATGACTTAGAACCAATTTACCATAGAGGACTACAACAACTGCTGCACTGAGGACAAAAAAGGCTTCACAGATTTTACAATGAATTTATTCAACTCTGCTCTCGGGAAAAACATCACTTTTGTGCGTCCTTCTTATTTCATAATAAGCGGTTTCTCTGGCATACCTTATATCAAGTATTACTATGTCTTCCTCTGTTTTGTTTATATTGTTTCAGTGCTTGGAAATACAGTTGTGATGGCAGTAATATACTTGGATCGTTATTTTAGAACTCCTAAATATATTGCAGTTTTTAACTTAGCGTTTGTGGACTTGTTGGGTAGCTCTGCTCTGGTGCCGAAGCTTCTTGACATCTTTCTGTTTAACCATCGTTACATCTCCTACAACGACTGCTTGACCTTTCTTTTTTTCTGTTTCACATGCCTTTCCATGCAGGTTTTTAATCTGGTTGCACTCTCCTATGACAGATTAATTGCCATTATGTACCCACTGCACTATCATATGAAGGTGACTCACAGGTTCATGCTGTCTTTGATTGCATCTTTCTGGGTCCTTGCAATTACTCTTAATCTTGTTGCAGTTGGTCTTCTTACCAGACTTTCCTTCTGCGGGTCTGTGGTTATTAACAGTTATTTCTGTGACCATGGCCAGATATACAGGCTGGCCTGCAATGACCACACACCAAGCTATGTCCTTGCTGAGTTCTTAGTATATCTCATTTTTAGGTTTCCACTGGCTTTCATTGTGTTAAGTTATGTATGTATTGGTTATGCTTTGTCTAAAGTGGCCACAGCTCAGGAAAGATACAAGGCCTTTAAAACCTGCACAGCTCATCTCTCACTGGTGGGAATCTATTTCATCCCATTAGTAATTACATTCATTGCAGGTTCAGGAATGCATCCAAATGGCCGGATCATAAACCTTTCTCTGGCCTCCATTTTCCCTCCAATGCTGAACCCATTCATTTATGTTCTGCAGACACAAGAAATCAAAGCATCAGTGAAAAAAATACTAAAAGTCAGAAAAGAATCCAAAATGAAAGTGAAGAAAGTAATCATAAAATGATCACCTTTGTTTGTATTTTGGGCTTTGTGTCAAGAATTGGGATTTTGTATATTAAAATATTATAACATTTGACTTTTCTGAACCACTGTTATCTTTTCATCACAATCTTCCTTCACATGAAACCTCCCCACCCGTTCAAAGACGTACCAACTTTTATCAAAGAACTTTGTTGTGAAGCACCTACAGAAATTGCAAATACTTTGGACCTGCATACCTACATTTCAAAGTATTCGAAGATGAGGAATACACATTTTCACAAATGTTTTGACATATTTACGCAGAAAGAGGTTGTCAGCAAGGTATGAAGACCAAAAATGACTACTATAATCGATTGTAAGTCTCTTATTATGTCAATGCACTAAGGCTTGATGCGCATTATTATTGTTGTCTGGACGGCTGTTATGAAGCAACCAGATTGTTATCAAAAACATTTTTGCAGTTTTCATGGTTTCTTCTGTTATGTTTCTAGAAGATAAATTCGAGTAGAAAGAACATTTCCATTTAAATAAACATATCAGGAGTGTTAGTGTCGTGCGTTCTTTATGTGTACTGTTGCTGCCTTTTGGCTGACTTCCTCCGACTATATCAGTTTATGGCAAGTTACACACAGGCGATACACGAGTGAAGGTTTTGAATTATCAACTAGAATCATCAGTGGAATATTAACGCTGTATCTCCAAAAAGCCAGAGTAAATGTGTCATAATACACAATTTAATATTGGATCCTAACCCTCTTGTCACAGCGTAGCATCACATTGAGATGAGGGACGACTTTATTTGACTTATTTTCTGTAACTACTGTAGCATTAAAGCATGAAACAAATAACCTGCTAACTAGCAGACTGCTGTATAGTAAAAAGTAACACTTTAGGCTGAGAGTTGTAATGCAGGAAAAGAGACTTTCAAATTTTGGACTTTATCTTTAGATTTTGCTGTTAATCAGAGCAGGTTAGCTGAGAAGCAAGTTCAATGTTTGTGTAAAAAGTGTCTGATGGACACGTGGGATCAGACTTTGACCTTATTTGATATGAAGTCAGAGGAGGATTTATAAGCCACTCATTTCCAATCATATAAAGCTCAACAGGGCTTCATCATCACAAGCAGGACCGTAAACGACTTAGAACCGACACACCCAAGAGGACTACAGCAACGGCTACAAAAGGCTTGACAGCTTTTACAATGAATTTATTCAACTCTGCTCTCGGGAAAAACATCACTTTTGTGCGTCCTGCTTATTTCATAATAAGCGGTTTCTCTGGCATACCTAATATTAAGTATTACTATGTCTTCCTCTGTTTTGTTTATATTGTTTCAGTGCTTGGAAATACAGTTGTGATGGCAGTAATATACTTGGATCGTAATCTAAGAACTCCTAAATATATTGCAGTTTTTAATTTAGCGTTTGTGGACTTGTTGGGTAGCTCTGCTCTGGTGCCGAAGCTTCTTGACATCTTTCTGTTTAACCATCGCTACATCTCCTACAATGACTGCTTGACCTTTCTTTTTTTCTGTTTCACATGTCTTTCCATGCAGGTTCTTAATCTGGTTGCGCTTTCCTATGACAGATTAATTGCCATCATGCACCCTCTGCACTATCAAGTGAAAGTGACTAACAGGTTCATGCTGTCTTTGATTTCCTCTTTCTGGGTCCTTGCAATTACTGCTGATCTGGTTGCAGTATGTCTTCTTACCAGACTTTCCTTCTGCAGGTCTGTGGTTATTAACAGTTATTTCTGTGACCATGGCCAGATGTACAGGCTGGCCTGCAATGACAACACACCCAGCTATGTCCTTGCTAACATCTTAATAGCTTTAATTCTTTGGTTTCCACTCTCATTCATCCTGTTAAGTTATGTATGTATTGGTTATGCTTTGTCTAAAGTGGTCACAGCTCAGGAAAGATACAAGGCCTTTAAAACCTGCACAGCTCATCTCTCACTAGTGGCAATTTATTTTATCCCATTATTAATAACATTTACTATGAGTTCGAGAATACATCCAAATGCCAGAATCATAAACCTTTCTTTAACCTCGGTTTTTCCTCCCATGCTGAACCCAATCATTTATGTTCTGCAGACACAAGAAATCAAAGTATCAGTAAAAAAAATATTAAAAGTCAGGAAAGAATCCAAAATGAAAGTGAAGAAAGTTAACATCAAATGACAACCGTTACTCATATCTTTGGCTTTGTGTTGAGGATTGTGATTCTGTACATTTCAATAATATTTAGACATGAATTGAAATTTGTTCTAAGTGACACTAATAACAACCTGTCTATTGCTACATTCTGGTGATTTAAGGGTTTTATATGTTTACCGTACATTAAAACATTCATATAGTTTTCATTTCATCCATCAACACATCAAAAAAGCTGATTCTTTGTTCAATTTTGTTTGGACAATGAATGACAATGAATATTCAATATTAATAAATTACAGCATCTGTTTTTTTTCTGCTTTTTTTTCAATGTTTGTAACGTTTTTATCTCAACCTTCCTTCACATTAAACCTCTCCAACCATTTAGGGAGGTGCCGACTTTTATTAAAGAATTTTGTTGTGAAGCACCTAAACAAATAACAGATTATTTGAAGCTGAACACTTGTTTCAAAATATTCAAAAGATTAACATTTAACCAGAGAGGTTGTCATCGAGGTATGGCAAGTTGCACACAGGGGACACACGAGTGAAGGATTTGAGGTAACAACTGGAATTAGCAGTGGAATTTAAATGCTGCACCTCTAAAAAGCCAGAGTAAATTAGTCATTTTAAACACCTTAATGTTTGATCCTCACCCTCTTGTCACAGCGTAGCATCACATACGATATGATTCTCACCATAACGCAGGAAGGGAGACGACACAAGACTTTAACAAGTAAACTTTATCTTTACATTTTGTTGGTAATCAGAGCAGGTCAGAAAAATAGTTCAACATTTTGAGAAATCCTTCCTTTTGCCCATGCAATACATATGAAGCAGGAATCAACATCACAGTTCTTTAACTGCACATTTTAGAAGTGGCTCAATAACATGGTGATGGTAATGTCACGCTTGTTCAATATAAAAATGGATTAAGGAATGCAGAAACTTTGATTAATGATTTTACAAGATTTTTTGTCCTAAAATAAAAATTCTGACCTCTTCTTAACAAGAGTTTTACTCCATTGGGGAAAACTTAATGCAGAGTTGTTATCTCATGATTCAGTGCTACAAATGTTTGGCAAGTTGTTGTTTGGGACAAAATGTTTAACTAACAGTTCGGGATATGTCGTCATCCTGCAAGAGCAGTGTCGACTAACAACTCATTAACAGCCTCATTAGACTGAGATGTTCCAGCTTCCAGCAAGGGAGTACAGCACACTTCAGTTGTGAACTTCTCACTCTGGAGGACTGCGAGAATCAAAACAATCAGAAATTAAAAGTTTGAAAAAACAAAATGATGACTTTGCATTCTGACCTTATGGATACAGAGTAGTTTGTAATAACACATCTCGTCTGCTTCCTCCTTTTGTTGAGCATGTTCTGAAAAATTTGTTAGCAGGAACTTATTTGCCTGTGAATCCCAAGCTCCCTGTTGAGCTCATGCACAAACAAAATCTTGACGTACTTCACTTTTCTGACTATGATGACTTGCACTGGACTGCTCCACACGGTGTGCACTGTGGAGGCAAGGCTTGGCGATAGGGGGGAAGGAGACAGTTGAGGAGACTCCACCAACGCAAGGCTGCAGGACCTGATGGCATCAGCCCCAGGGTCCTGAAGACCTGTCCTTTCCAGCTGGCTGAGGTCCTTCAACCCCTCTTCAACCTGAGCCTGAAGCAGCAGAAGGTCCCGGTGCTGTGAAAGACGTCGCGCCTGGTTCCGGTCCCCAAGAAGACGACTCCATCTGGCCTTAATGACTATCGACCGGTCGCCCTCACATCCCATGTGATGAAGGTGCTGGAGAGGCTGGTCTTGGCCCGCCTCAGGCCGCAGGTGAAATCTTCACTTGACCCGCTGCAGTTTGCATACCAGCCTCGTGTGGGAGTGGATGACGCCATCATCTACCTGCTGCAACGAGCCCAGTCGCACCTGGATGGAAAGGGTGGCTCTGTGAGAATAACTTTCTTTGATTTCTCCAGTGCCTTCAACACCATCCAACCACTGCTGCTGAGTGAGAAGCTGCGGATGGTGGGGATGGACTCATCCACCGTCTCCTGAATCACTGACTACCTGACAGGCAGGCCACAGTTTGTCCGACTGGGCAGCGTGCTGTCTGATACAGTGGTCAGTGGTACTGGAGCTCCACAGGGAACTGTTCTGTCTCCCTTCCTGTTCACCTTATACACCACTGACTTCCAGTATAACTCGGAGTCCTGCCATCTGGACGATAGTGGAGGACTTTGTGGTGTGGGCGGGCAGAAATCACCTGCTCCTGAACGTGGCCAAGACCAGAGAGATGGTGGTCGACTTTGGGAGGAAGACGACGGCTCCGCTACCGCTGATGGTTCTGGGAGAGGAGGTGGCCATGGTCGAGGACTACAAGTACCTGGGTGTCTCCATCGACAACAGACTGAACTGGAGGACCAACATCAACACTGTGCTTTCAGGGTCCGATCGATGTTGTTCCCGCCGCCCCCCTCGCCATCCACACCTTAAATCTTCGGCTGCTCTCCAGCCACGCCGCCTGCCAAGGGCCCCCTTTAGAATAACTTATTTTCCCCATTAAGATGGTTCAGCTACTGTAAAGAAAAGGGCACCGTCTCTCGCTCTTTAATCTCATTAAGTGCTCGGCAAGAACGACAGCTGTGTTTCTCCGACGCGCCCTGAAACAAGCTCCATATCTCACACGCTCTCGCCATTGTAGACCGAGCTTTGGCATGTTTGGCCGAGCGCCTTGAGCGCCGTGTACAACCAGTATGGATCAACCAATTAACCAATTGATCCATATATGAGGCGCTCTGGATTATAAGGCACACTGTCGTTTTTTGAGAAAACGAAAAGGCTTTTAAGTGCGCCTTATAGTGCGGAAAAAACAGTAATGTTCATATTTACATTTGCATTTACACTATTTAACAACTTTGTGTTTGTCAAGTGTCTCACTTTTGTGAGGTTCAAACTGCAGCTCCCCACTTGAAAGGGCAGCTTGCTAAGAAGTGTAGACTGGATTCCACTCAATGACCAAGATTCGGACTTCTTTGCTTTCTTGCTTTTTAATTTTAAAATTGTCCAGGTCAAACCAGGTGAAAAACCTTGAAATACAAACATGAATGGAAGGTCAAAGAAATATAACCCAAGAAACCATAATCAATTCACATACCTAACATCACATACTTAATTTATAATCTACTGGAAATTAACCTCAAAAATAAGTAGAAAGACAACCCAAATTTAAAGTATCCCAAGACTAAATTAAATACATTTTCAAAACACTATTTGATGATTTTAACTTTATAAACTTTAGCAGCTTTTAACTCCGCTGAATACACACAAATCAAGTTTTATCCAATTACTTGTAGCTTGAATACTTTTTAAAACACACATTAAATATATGGACATTTGATCTTGCATTTGATGCCATAAGTAGTCAGCCACTCAAAAGCTCACCGGCTCCTTCTTCAGTCTTTGCAAGCTTTATTCCTGCAGTCTCCTCTTTCCAAGCTCTTCAATCTCGCTTTCTCACACTGCTCGCTCTTCACTGTCCTGTGAGTGAGTGCCTCCAACCCCCCTGATCGCCAGATCCTCTCCACCTGGTGCATTCAAATCTCCCGCCTCCAGCCTGAGAGACACACCTAAACCTACCTCACAGCCAGAGAGGGGCTCGGTCTGCAACCCAACTCAACAGTGTTACTGCCAAACATTTTCCTTGGAAAAGTTACTGTATGAATTTCTAACTAAATGGCTGAAAAAGTGACATACAAATATTGCCGTGCTTTTTTTTTCATTAGATAATGCTAAATGTACCAAAACTGAGCAGGATTTTAGAACGTGTAACATTTTACAAACGGCGCCCCATATGGCTCACCATCTGAAAATCAACCCCGACAAGACTGAATTATTTCTCTTTCTGGGAAAAGATTCTCCTGACTGAACAGGACCTGACAGTTAACTTTGGCAACTCCCTGTTAACACCCACTTTGACTGCCAGGAACCTCGGTGTCACACTTGACAGCCCACAACACGTAGATACACGCTCTACAACATCAGGAGAATACGTCCCCTTCTCACTCAGGAGGCGGCACAGGTACTGATTCAGGCTCTTGTCATCTCCTTCCTCGACTATTGTAACTCTCTCCTGGCAGGTGTTCCTGCCACCGCCATTGGACCTCTGCAGCTCAACCAGAATGCAGCAGCTCGACTGATCTTTAACCTTCCGAAATTCTCCCACACTACTGCACTTCTCTTCGCTGGCTACCGGTGGCTGCCGCATTCCAGTTCAAAACATTGGAGCTCACGTACCGTGTGTAGTGACAAATTCTAGCACTTAAATTGTACTTATAATGGCTCTTATCTATAGCAAGTTGTAAATCGGCTTATTTAATGAAATTGTACTTTCGTCTTTCTTGTTATTTTGAGTTTGTATCCTTATACAAATGCAATTATTGTATGTCGCTTTGGGTACAAGTGTCAGCTAAATGAAATGTTATGTAATGAGACAACATGAGCCTTTCAAATAATTAACTTTATCTTAATATTTTGTTGGTAATCAGAGCAGGTCAGCTGAGAAGCAAGCTAAATGTTTGCCTGAGTGTAAAAAGTTTTTAAGACTGGAAAGGAGTTAGTCTGATCCCGAGTGTCTGATAAACACGTGGGATCAGACATTGACCTCATTAGACAAAGTCAGAGGAGGATTTATAAGCCACTTATTTCAAAACATTTAAAGCTTAACAGGGCTTCATCATCACAAGCAGGACCGTAGATGACTTAGAACTAACTCACCCAAGAGGACTACATCAACTACTGCACTGAGGACAAAATAGGCTTGACAACTTTTACAATGAATTTATTCAACTCTGCTCTCGGGAAAAACATTACTTGGATCGTAATTTTAGAACTCCTAAATATATTGCAGTTTTTAACTTAGCATTTGTGGACTTGTTGGGTAGCTCTGCTCTGGTGCCGAAGCTTCTTGACATCTTTCTGTTTAACCATCGCTACATCTCCTACAACGACTGCTTGACCTTTGTTTTTTTCAGCTACACCTTCCTTGGCATGCAGGTTTTTAATCTGATTGCACTCTCCTATGACAGATTAATTGCCATAATGCACCCTCTGCACTATCATGCGAAGGTTAATCACAGGTTCATGCTGTCTTTGATTGCCTCTTTCTGGGTGTTTGTTATAATTGCTACTGTCGTTTTAGTTGGTCTTCTGACCAGACTTTCATTCTGCAGGTCTGTGGTTATTGACAGTTATTTCTGTGACCACGGCCAGATATACAGGCTGGCCTGCAATGACAACACACCCAACTATGTCTTTGCTTTGTTCATAATAGTTCTAGTTCTGTGGCTTCCACTCTCATTCATCTTGTTAAGTTATGTATGTATTGGTTATGCTTTGTCTAAAGTGGCCACAGCTCAGGAAAGATACAAGGCCTTTAAAACCTGCACAACTCATCTCTCACTAGTGGCAATTTATTTTATCCCAATATTAATCACATATACTGCAGGCTCACAGATACATCCAAATGCCAGGATCATAAACCTCTCTCTTACCTCTGTTTTTCCTCCCATGCTGAACCCAATCATTTATGTTCTGCAGACACAAGAAATCAAAGCATCAGTGAAAAAAATATTTAGTCAGAAAGTCAGAAAGCAATCCAAAATTAAAGTGAAGAAGGTTATCATAAATTGACCGACTTTGCTTTATGGTGAAGATAGTGATTTTGTACATTAAAATAACATAATTTTTCTCATTTATGAACCACTGTAATATATTTTTGTTAATCATAACCTTCCTTCACATTAAACCTCTCCAACCATTCATGGAGGTACTAACCTTTATTAAAGAACTTTGTTGTGAAGCACTTACAGAAATGGTCGATTTTTTAAAGCCTCAATTTCAAAATATTCAAAGATTAAGGATGCAAATTTTCACAAATGTTTTGACATTCATCCAGAGAGAGGTTGTCATCAATGTATGAATATATGAATTCCTATAATGACTACTATAATCAATTGTAAGGCTCTTCGTCTTTTTATTATATCATTAGTAGCATGTTTGGAAATTATAATTGATGACTGGAAGACTTATGAAGAAACCGGATTGTTATGAAATACTTTTTTTGCAGGTTTCATAGCCTCTTGTGTTATATTTATGAAAGAAACAATGAAATAGAATAAACATTTTCCATTTAAATAAACATAAATAAAATAAATAAATAAACAGGATTGTTAGTGTTGTCCATTTTTCATGTGTACTGTTGCCAATGTGACCTTTTGTAGCGCGCTGCAAAATTTGGCTTTACATTTTCTGTAACTACTACAGTTTTTAACAAGCGTAATTAACACGCTAACTTGCTAGCAGACTGCTGTATAGTAAAAAGGCCTCTGCTGGAGAATCAGTAACACTTCAGGTTGAGAGTGATATTGCAGGAAGGGAGATGACACAAGTTAGACTTTTGGCCCTAGTGTAGGGGGTGTAGCAACAACTGAGAGGGCCGTGTAATCATGAGTGACAGCTTAACAAATAAGGCTGAAAACCTTCCGCAACAGCGTTGCCTTCAGGAAATCTAGTCAACGGGAGACTTATGAATCAACATTTTATATACACTATATTTGGAATTTAGATGTAAAACCATCGCCAAACGCTAGTGACAAAGTTCTGGATAGCGAGCTGTTTTGGACCCTACTCGCCATGACCACAGAAAAAGAGCAATCAACTATCTCAGATTCTACCATTCATCAACCACACATGAATCTCTGAAGTTATGCACTTACACATACAACTGGAAACGCGGCGTAGCATCCATGCGATGGCGTCTTAGTTTGGTTAAGTTTGCAAGATATTCACAGATTTGGGTTTCCCGGTTCAATAGCTTGTCATTAAAATGTTGTTAAAACATAAACGACATCTATCTGTGACTATGGTAATGGCCTGGATTTGGCTCCATAGACCTACAGCTTTCTTGGCCTTTTCCCAGATATGTGGAGCAGAAAATACTGAAGGCTGCTTCTCAATGTTTACTTTTGACAATGGGAAAAGAGAGGAGACCAGTCCCCAGACGATCTAAGGGTTTGTGGCGGTATCGGCGAATCAGAAATGTACTGGCCCTAAACCATTCAGTGCTTTGTAAGCAAACCGCAGGATTTTAATGTCAATTCTTTGTTTTACAGGAAGCCAGTAGAACTGGAGTGATGATCCACTTTCCTGGTCCTAGCGAGGACAAAAGCTGCAGCATTCTAGATCAACTGTAGCTTTCTGACTTTTTACGGAGACATGCAAACACACCGTTACTGTAGTCCAATCTACTAAAGATAAATGAAGATTTTCCAAATCTTGTTGAGACATGAATCCTCTAATCCTTGTTGTATGGTTTAGGTGATAGTAGGCTGATATTGTAACAATATTGTTGTTCAAAGTGAGGTCCCAATCCATTATTAGACATAGATTTTTGGCTTGGTTTGTGGTTTTTAAAATCAGTAATTGAAGCTCAGCAGACTTTCAATCGTTCATACTTAAACAAACAACTAATAACATTTACTTTTGTTTAATCTTTGTTCAATTGAAGAAAGTTTTGGCACATCCAGTTATTAGATTAGATTCAACTTCATTGTCATTGCAGAGTACAAGTACTGAGGCAACGAAATTCAGTTCAGAAATAGATATGCAATATGAACAGTAATTGGGACAAGAATAGCAGCAATTGAGGTAAGAAGTGTAGGTATGATAAGTATATGTAAAGTGCAGGTGTAAGTATGAGTGGGGGTAAAAAAGTGAGATGAAGTGAAAGAGGTATTAGTAATATTATATTTAAGAGGTATTGTAGGTATAAGTCCGATTATTACAGTAATAAGTGGTAGAAAAAAACATTCTGGTGCAAATGTTCAGTGGCTGGAGGAGGGTGTGGCAGTCAAGCCAGGGTGGAGGGGGGAAGTACAGTCACTGAGGGAGATGTGTGAGGGGGTGGGGGGCAGAGTTCAGTAGAATGACAGCCGCAGGGATGAAGATGTTCCTGAACCTGCTGGTCTGGGAACGGAGCACCCTGTAGCGCCTCCCAGAGGGGAGGAGGGCAAACAGTCTGCCTTCTTCGGTCTCCTCAGGAAGAAGAGACGCTGCTGTGCTTTCTTTACCGGGGATGAGGTGTTGAGGGTCCAAGAGAGGTCCTCAGAGATGTGGACACCCAGGAACTTGAAGCTGGCGACACGCTCAACCTCCATCCCGTTGATATGGATGGGGATGTGTGTGCCAGCTTTCTTCCTGAACTCCACAATTAGTTCTTTGGTCTTCTTGGCGTTGAGAGCCAGGTTGTTGTCGGCGCACCACACCGCCAGGTGCTGGACCTCTTCTCTGTAGGCCGATTCATCGTTGTCACTGATGAGGCCAATCACCGTTGTGTCGTCTGCAAACTTGACAATGGTATTAGAACCATGTACAGGTGTGCAGTCGTAGGTGAAGAGGGAGTAGAGGAGAGGACTTAGCACACAGCCCTGTGGCACGCCGGTGTTCAGGATGAGGGTTGAGGAGGTGTGGTTCTCTACCCTAACAGACTGGGGTCTGTTGGATAGGAAGTGCAGTATCCAGTTACAAAGGGAAGTGTTGATACCCAGGTGACTGAGATTTGTGATTAGTTTGGAGGGGATGACAGTGTTGAAAGCTGAACTGAAGTCTATGAACAGCATCCTCACATAGCTGTTGTTATTGTCCAGGTGAGAAAGGGCGGAGTGTAATGCCATGGAGATGGCATCCTCCGTACTCCTGTTCTTGCGGTAGGCGAATTGGAAGGGGTCCAGTGTGGGTGGTAAGCAGGTTTTGAGGTGAGCCAGGACCAGCCTCTTGAAGCACTTCATGATGGTTGGAGTGAGTGCAACTGGGCGGAAGTCATTTAGGCTCACTGCGCCTTAGCTTAGCTTGAGGTAGTGCTTGGCCTGCTTGATGCCCCTCTTCAGGTCAGCCCTGGATGAACTGTAGGCTTGAGCATCACCTGATCTGAAAGCGGTGTCTCGTGCCTTCAGCAGTAAGCGGACCTCTTTGTTCATCCATGGCTTCTGGTGATTCGTTTAAGTGTGGTGACACTGTCGATGTTGGTGAAGTCCAGAACGGAAGAGGCATAGGAATCAATGTCCATGTGGGAGTCCAGTGTGGCGTGAGTGGCAAACACTCTCCAGTCCGTGTGTTCAAACCGAAGCTGTAGTGCAGAGTCTGCTCCCTCTGGCCACACTTTAACTGTCCTCACTGTGGGTTTAACACGTTTGATGAGTGGTGTGTATTTAGGGAGAAGAAACAAAGAGAGGTGGTCAGACTGTCCTAGGAGGGGGAGGGGGCTTCTTTGTAGGCATCAGCCATGTTGGTATAGACCTTGTCCAAAGTCTTGTCTCCTCTCGTGGGGCAGGAGACATGTTGGGGTATCACACTACTCAGCCTCCCGGGTAAAGTCTACTCCAATGTGCTGGAAAGGAGGGTTCGGCCAATAGTCGAACCAAGGATTGAAGAGGAACAATGCGGTTTTCGTCCTGGTCGTGGAACGACAGACCAGCGCTTTACTCTTTCCAGGATCATGGAGGGGGCTTGGGAGTATGCTCATCCAGTCTACATGTGTTTTGTGGACTTGGAGAAGGCGTATGACCGGGTGCTGCGGGAGTATGGGGTGAGGGGGTCCTTGCTTGGGGCCATCCAATCCTTGTACTTCCGAAGCGAGAGCTGTGTTTGGCTGCTTGGCAGTAAGTCAAAGGTGTTTCCGGTGGGGGTTGGCCTTTGCCAGGGCTGCGCCTTGTCACCAATCTTGTTCGTGGTCTTCATGGACAGGATATTGAGGCGGAGTCAGGTGGAGGAGGGTCTACAGTTCGAGGGGCTGCGGATCTCATCGTTGCTTTTTGCAGATGATGTGGTCCTGATGGCATCTTATGTCTGTGACCTCCAACTCTCACTGGAGCGTTTCGCAGTCGCGTGTGAAGCAGTCGGGATGAGGATTAGCACTTCTAAATCTGAGGCCATGGTTCTCAGCAGGAAACCGATGGATTGCCTACTCCAGATAGGGAATGTGTCCTTACCCCAAGTGAAAGAGTTCAAGTACCTCAGTGTTACGTCCCCTGTTCTGTGTATAGGTTTGTGTATGTGTTCTGTTTTGTGTGTGTGTGTTCATACAGGTGGTACTGATCATCCACGATCTCCATTCATCTTGGCTCCACCCCCGCTCGTTACCCGGTTCAGCTGTTTCCACTCATCTCCAATCCCATCATGCCCTTCTGTCGGTATATGTACCCCTGTGTTTGTTTCACCCGGGGGGGTGTTACTCTGGTTGTGTGTATGTGAGTGCTGGTGTATGGTGGGGTAGTTATTAGTTCTGGTGATTTGCTGTACTGTGTATTCAATTAATTGTTTTTTTTTGTCTTTTTCTTACAGGGGGATGAGGAGTAGTTTAGCCCTGCTCCGGAGTTTACATACCTGCACGTAGGGTTACTCTCCTGTCTAACCACACTAGCTACACCTGGCTGGGCCACCTACTGTAAGTTTGGGTAGGGCGCCTTGTTAGTGTGCCAGTTAGTTAGTGAGTTTCGTTGGGAGATAGGACAGGTAAGGGGGTGGGAGGTATTTTGTTCTTTTCTTTGCTTTGGTACCGCCAGCCCTCCTCATTTCCCCTGTTAACTGCGCTTAAATAAAAGCCTGCTTACCCCAACTTCAGGTGATGTTTTTTCTTGCACCTACGACGCCATACCCGTTTACTGGCCACAGGACGTCCTCGGGCAGTGGCGTGAATCCCACTCCCCTCCTGGGGAGTCAGAACGTAACACAAGTAAGGGGAAGATGGAGTGTGAGTTTGACCGGAGAATCTGAGCAGCGGGGCGGTATTGCACTCTTTACCTCACCGTTGTGACGAAAAGAGAGCTGAGCGGGCAGGCAAAGCTCTCGATCTACCGGTCAATCTTCTTTCCTACCCTCACCTATGGTCATGACCGAAATAACTAGGTCACGGGTACAAGCGGCCGAAATGGGTTTTCTCAGGAGAGTGGCTAGAGATAGGGTGAGCAGCTCAGCCATTCGTAAGGAGCTCGGAGTAGAGCCGCTGCTTCTTTGCGTCAAAAGGAGCCAGTTGAGGTGGTTTGGGCATCTGGTGACGATGCCCCTTGGGCGCCTCCCTAGGGAGGTGTTCCAGGCACGGCCAGCTGGGAAGAGGCCCTGGGGAAGACCCAGGACTAGGTGGAGAGATTATATCTCTGCACTGGCCTGGGAACGTCTTGGGATCCCCCCAGTCAGAGCTGGTAGATGTGGCCCGGAAAAGGGAAGTTTGGGGTCCCCTGCTGGAGCTGTTGCCCCCGTAACCCGACCCCGGAAAAGCGGCTGAAGATGGATGGATTGATGAAGAAAGGCAAGTTTTATATTTAAGCAATAAGGTCCGGGAGGCTGTACTTTATCGTCCGATAATGTACGAGTTCGGTGGTGTTGATAGGCCCTCCGCTGCGCGTTGGGTATTTAGGGATTGTGGGAAGACACTTGTGTATTGAGTGTCTGATGGACACGTGGGATCCTTATTAGCATGAAGTCAGAGGTGGATTTATAAGCCACTCATTTCAAAACATTTAAAGCTCAACAGTGCTTCATCATCACAACCAGGACACAACACACCAGATAAGAGAACTACATCAACTACTGCACTGAGGACAGAAAAGGCTTGACAGCTTTTAAATGAATTTATTCAACTCTGCTCTCGGGAAAAACATCACTTTTGTGCGCCCTGCTTATTTCATAATAAGCGGTTTCTCTGGCATACCTAACATCAAGTATTTCTATGTCTTCCTCTGTTTTGTTTATATTGTTTCAGTGCTTGGAAATACAGTTGTGATGGCAGTAATATACTTGGATCGTAATCTGAGAACTCCTAAATATATTGCAGTTTTTAATTTAGCATTTGTGGACTTGTTGGGTAGCTCTGCTCTGATACCGAAGCTTCTTGATATATTTCTGTTTAGCCATCGCTACATCTCCTACAACAACTGCTTGACATTTCTTTTTTTCTGCTACACCTTCCTTTCCATGCAGGTGTTTAATCTGGTTGCACTCTCCTATGACAGATTAATTGCCATCATGCACCCTCTGCACTATCAAGTGAAGGTGACCCACAGGTCCATGCTGTGTTTGATTGCCTCTTTCTGGGTCCTTGCAATTACTGTTAATCTCGTTGCAGTTGGTCTTCTTACCAGACTTTCCTTCTCCAGGTCTGTAGTTATTAACAGTTATTTCTGTGACCATGGCCAGATATACAGGCTGGCCTGCAATGACAACACACCCAGCTATGTCCTTGCTAAGTTCTTAACAGTTCTAGTTCTTTGGTTTCCACTCGTATTCATTGTGTTAAGTTATGTATGTATTGGTTATGCTTTGTCTAAAGTGGCCACAGCTCTGGAAAGATACAAGGCCTTTAAAACCTGCACAGCTCATCTCTCACTAGTGGCAATTTATTTCATCCCAATATTAATCACATTTACTATGAGTTCAGGAATACATCCAAATGCCAGGATCATAAACCTTTCTCTGACCTCTGTTTTTCCTCCCATGCTAAACCCAATCATATATGTTCTGCAGACACAAGAAATCAAAGCATCAGTGAAAAAAATATTAAAAGTCAGAAAGGAATCCAAATTGAAAGTGAGGAAAGTTATCATCAAATGACCTGTTCATAGATGTGGGATTTGTGTTGTTGTGCAATTTTTACATTGGAATATTATTGAAATATTTTAAATATTTAAACATAATTGTTGTAAGTGAAACTAATAACATTTTTATGGGTAGTTTTTGGTGATTTAAGGGTTTTATTGATTTACTATTTACAATTCACGTGTGGTCTGTTTTTGTTCTGTATGTCAGTTAAACCTTTTTTTATTCATGCTTTTGCGTTTCTCACCCTCCAAATGTTCACTGTATATTAAAACATTCATGGAGGTTTTCATTTTATCTTTCAACACATTCAAAATAGCGGATTTTTTATTTTATGGACCTGTTTTATGGACCACCATCTGTTTTTTTCTCTGCTTCTCTTTTATGAACCACTGTAATGTTTTTTTTTTTTTGTCTCAACCCTCCTTCAAATTAAACCTCTCCAACCATTCATGGACGTACCAATGTTTATTAAAGAACTTTGTTGTGAAGCACCTACAGAAATGGCAGATCCTTTGAAGCTGAATTCATTTTTAAATATTTAAAGATTAACAATTCAAATTCTCTCAAATGTTTTTTCATATTCATCCAGAGAGAGGTTTTCATCAATGTATGAATTCCAATAATGACTACAATAACTGATTGTAAGGCTGCTTGTCTTTTTATTATGTCAATGCAGCATGTATGCATATTATTGATGCCTGGAAGGCTGTTATGAAGAAACCAGATTGTTATGAAATACTTATCTTGCAGTTTTCACAGCTTCTAAATGTTCTAAACTAGCTAGCTAACAGCAGATCTCTGATCTAACAGAGAGACACAGAGGAAGGAAAGCAATGGCTTGACTAAGTCATCTGTTTATGTCTGTGCATGAGTCGGTGCCACGCAGGCAAGTGGAGGTTAGCCAAAAAGGCTAACTAGCTAAAGACATGAGAGATTTTCTTCGGCTGTTTTAGCCTCTTGTCAGCAGTTTGGTCCTGTTATTGCTAGTGCAATGCTAGATAGCATCATGTTATCGTTATGCTAGCTAACGCCATGCTAGCTAGTGCGTGTGGACGTCGTGCCTGCCCACGTGTGCCTGTGTCAGACTATTTAGGGGAGAGACAGAGAGTGAGGAGGCTGTGTGGTTGTCGTGGAGACAGCGCAGCTGCTGTGTTCCCATGCTGATCAAAGGGTAAACAGGGATTTTACCTAGAACCTCCACCTCAAACAAGTTACTGTACCCGCAAAACTATAATACCAATCTAAAAGATAAGGGGAAGTTTAGAGACCCAAGACTCCACTGCTCTAGTGAATGCTTAGATGTGATTGTAATGATTTCTGCGTTACCCCTGAATCTTGGACATAGATAAGCAGCGTCACGTATTGTGTACACACCGGGGGCCTCATTTATAAAACCTTGCGTAGGATTTGCGCCAGAAGTGGCGTACGGATGAAACATAGGATATGCGTACGCACAGATATATTCAGTCTTATAAAACCGTGCGCATGCACGTCCTACGCAGTTTTCCCTTAATAAATCACAATCACTTCTAAATGCAGCGCAGCTTTTGCGGCTTGATGCCACGCCCATAGTTGCCCATATATAGTCTGTGGAACGCCCACAAATTAATATTCATCGATTGCGAAATCATGACAAACACTGAGAAGAAAACGAAGAAACGTAACTTCACTCAGTGTCAAAATTATCATTGGCGAGGTGGAAAGAAGAAGTAAAATGCCTTTTGGAGGGCACAATATGGGCATTACTAATGCCAAAAAGGCACTTGCAAAAGGTTGCAGAGCAACCCTGCAGCCTCACAAACTCGGGCCGTGGCTGAAATAAAGAAAAAATGGTCTGACATCAAAGTGGATGCCAAAAAGTGTTTAGAGCTTTTTGAAAATGTGTTAATTTTTTATTTCTGTTTGTTTTACGCTGAAGATCGATCAAACAGGTGTTCGTGTTATTTGTGAGAGGCAGTATTGGCATTTCTTTTACAGTCACAACAGTTTTACACATGTTTGCGTGTTTCTTGCATTTGCCAACGGTTCTCATTTCACCCGTTTTTGTGTGTATGCATGGGTCCGAGCTTGCGGGAAGGACCGCACATTTTTCCGTCAAGTTTGCTTTTTATAAATACCAATTATTGCGTAGAGAGCGGTGTACGCCTTCTTTTGTGCGTACGCAACGTTTATAAATGAGGCCCCAGGTCACGCTTTTCACTCCTATTCTTCCTCCTGCTTCTCAGTCCCTACTGCCCTTTATTGGGGAGAGAGACACACATACACCAATTAAGGCCATCTGAGGCTGATTAGACCTCATCCTGGGTTCCCTGAACCACCTTCTCACTAGGTTCCCCCTCTGCAGCTGAGCTAACCCCGCCCCACCACCACAGTGATGTAACTATGTCTCTGTGGGTCATAAATACGGCTTGAATGACAGTTTCCAAATTCTGTACCTTCTGCTTTCTCTGAGAAATATGTCACCTGATTTGCATTGGTCCTGTTGTGTTAAAAAATGATGAAACGTCGGACAGACAGAGGTCATCGCTGATCAAAAGGTTAAAATCAAATGTATTTAATAAAAGGGATGGTGTTGTGGTGAAAAGAACATCTCAGCTGAGGAGCCGCTGGTCTCAGCGACCAACAGGCCCCAGGTCAGTCCTTTTGCCAGTCCATCCCTATTGCCCGTCTGTCGCCTCCACCAGCGAACTCGAGAACAATGGTTCCTACAGGTATTTATAACAATGCTTAAAGGTGTGAGAGTTAGTGTCCACACCTCTGGGAGTGGTCTTCTGGTGAGTTCAATGTAACTCGGATTTCGAATGGCCCATAGTCAATATCAGTTGTTGTGCAAGTATTTCATGCATGCATTCCAGTTGATTACATTACATCGAATACAATCATAACTGTACATTGGTATTATTCTATTACAGTTGCAGAATTACAGTGGTTTTACAATATTGTAATTACTTTATTGATTACACAGTTTCAGAATCATGGCTGTATTCTGGTGTACACTATATGCATTTTATTAATTTTATGAACCGGGTCATATATTTGTTTCTAATATCCTACAGTCCCTATGGAGCGAGAGTTGGACTTTGTCTCCCCTCGAGGTTCTGTGGTCAAATGTGTAGTCTGTTGATTCCAAAAGTCAGATATTCAGGACCAAACCTTCTTCTGCAAAAATGACGCATGAGGAGTAATCATTGTGGACACGGTTGCGATTTACACATTTTTTACAAGATTTCAAGGTCCTCTTCACTCAGCAATCATCCCATGCGCTCTAAGCTACGCCACACACACACACACACACACACACACACACATTATAAACGCAGAAATGGTCTCACATTTTTCAAAAACTTGAACTGTGATTGCCGTTGTAGGTAGAAGGTGTGCGTATGCCCTTTTGGCTCAATAAAGTCAAGACATTTTCCTTCCCATAGTTTTTCATGTTGAAGTATAGCAACTCATTATGACTCCAAAGTTAAGTGTCTTTTGGTGGTTTAAAAAACAACTCCATTCCAATGGCGCATTTTGCCTCAGATTTTGGGGATTTTGGGGAAACGGTCAGTTATTTCTCTTAGAAAAGTCATAGTACACGATGAGTTCCAACACTTTTTGAGTCATGTGCGAGCAAAGCAAAGCAAAGGAGTAGCGTGCCAAACTTTTTGTGCGGAAGGAGAATAATAAAGAAGAAGCACGCCGGATAATACATGTGACGACTCGAAGAGACAGTGAAGATTAACCTGTTTTTATTTTTGTAACCACTGCACCTGTATCTAGTTTCCACCTGTATTTTAAGCCTCAGTTCCCCACTTGTCTGTGTCAGGTTATCTTTTGTCTTTCCCAGAGGTGCATGTTAGTAGTCAGAAATTCCCAGTGCTGTTTTTGGTTATCTTGTTTTTACTTTGTTGCCAGGCCCTCTTCCTTTTTTGTTACTACAAGAGCGTGTGAATTCCGCATTTGCCTGTGCACCCTTTTTGTTTTGCATTAGTTTATTCTCCAAGTAAAATATTCCAAACCTGGAAAAAAGTTTTTGTTGCCTTATTGCTCTGCACCTCTGCTCTGAGTCAAAGTCCTGACCCCTCACAATACAGGGTGTGCTCTGCTTCGCATGCTTCGCATGCCACACTCTATCAGCAGTTGAATATTAATGCACCACCTCTAAAATACCAGTGTAAATGAGTCCTATTAAACTACTTAAAGTTTGCTCCTCACCCTGTTGTCAAAGCGTGGATAACATTGTTAGAGCCAGATAATGACATTAGTCCGGCTTTTTGTTACTACTATAGTATTAAAGCATGGCATAATTAAGAACCTAACTTAAACCTAGTAAGCAGGTGGTTTACGGAACGGTGCAGGGATGAGGTTTAATCAGCCTCAGCTGGCCTTAATCGGTGTGTGTGTGTGTGTGTGTGTGTGTGTGTGTGTGTGTGTGTGTGTCACTCTCCCCAATAAGGGGCAGTAGGGACTGTAGCATGAGCCTCTGGACGCCCCGTACCTGGGGCTGTATAAATGTATCTGTGTGTTGTCATGCAAGGCAGTTCAGTAAATATGCCAACAGGCTAAAGACATGCCGTTTTCTGTGTTCATTTGTAACGCCAATTACCACAGGGACTGAGAAGCAGGAGGAAGGATAGGAGTGAAAAGCGCGATCTGTTGTGTACACTGTTGCCACAAATTGCTTCCCAATAAAACCTAACCAATCTGAACAATCCGTCTCGCTGCTTATCTATGTCCGAGAATCACACGCGGACGCACTAGCTAGCATGACGTAACATGGTGCTATCTAGCATTGCACAAGCAATAACAGGACCCAACTTCTGACAAGTGGCTAAAAAAGGCCAGAGACAATCTCTCATGTCTTTTAGGGGGGGGTACTGTCACGGTGTGGTTTTATTTCCTGTCTTATTTTGTAGTTTCTGCTTCTTGTCTCCCTGGGTAATTTCACTTCCTGTCCTGTCATCGTCTGTGATTGTCTGATTGTTTCCACCTGTGTCCAATCACCTGCGCCTCCCTAGTGTATTTAAGCCGTGTGTCTCCTGACACTGGTCGCGTCATTGTCTATCG